GTGTGTGTGTGTGTGTGTGTATTTGCTGTCAGTGTTTACGAGTAGTTTTTTCTTGAGAGATCACAAAGATATTTGAATATAATAATAATAAAGTGTATTCTTACCTGAGCTACAGAGCAGTAGCATCAGCAGCAGCAGCAGGTGATCCATGTCTCTCTTCTGTCTCTCTCTCTCGCTCTCTTTATTCTGAGTATCTCATGTTTTGTCCTCGCATTATATCAGCGTAAAGCGAGAGGTGGAGTCTCTCTGGAAACATATCTGATGGTATTGATATGGTATTGATATCTGATGGTCACTTCCCGCTCTCTTCTCTCTTCAGCTACATGTCAAATCATCACATCAGAGGCTGAGCATGATCCTATTTTGAGGGAAATGATCCAACGCTAGTCTTTAGAAGGAGAACAAGTAAACATAAATGTCTCATTTAAAATAACAAGCTCTTTCACACAGATACAGAACAACTAACATTGGGGTTTGCTGCTTCACATTTTGAAGCAACTAAAGAACTAAAAGCCCGACTGAACAAAGGCAGGTGCAAAAAACAAAGTGTGTAGAAAAGTAGAAGAAGGACTCAGAGATCAGAGTCACAGAGCAGAGGACCAGAGTCCGGGGAGGAACAGGTTCAGGTGGAACCAGCTTGGTTCTGACTATGGAGAGGTTCTGTAATCCTCATTAACCTGTTAAGCCCGGGTTAATGATTTGAACATTGCTTCTTACCTAGTTAGTATTCTTTCTTTTTATTTATGCATATTTTACTAATCTATGGGCATAGATATGTCTCATAATTATTTGTGTGAACATAAAAATGATTTGTGTGTAAATATGTGATTTGGAAATGTAAAACACAATCCACAAATGCATTTAAAAGATTTGCAAACTCACAAATAAATTTGCAAATGTAAAACGGATCTGCAAATACGCTAAATATGTTCACAAATAAAAAAAAGATCTGTGAATATCTCTTTAACATTTACAACTTTCGATCAGGCATTTGTGAATCCATTTTGTATTTGTCGACCAAAAATGCGCTTGTGGATCTCAACTCTCTGCTCGTGGATCTCAAATTTCTGCTTGTGGATCGTCTTTTTACACACACGGAATTTTGAGACAAACTTTCCTCTGGTCTCAGCTAAAATCTACTCGTGTAACTCGGTTATTTTCGGAAACCACGTGATGGCCTGCTGATGACGACATTTCCGCATGATTTCAAAGTAAGAGCATGATGGCTTGTTTAATGCTCTGTTTTTTTATTATAATGAACAGCGAAACGTTAGATGCATTCTTTTTCACCATCATCATCATCATGTTATGGTGATACAGTTAGTTTGTGTTAGTTTATTGGTTCAATACAGCATATGTCGAGCACTTTCGTAGGCATTGATGTTGAAGTACAGGCTACCCCACTTCGGGTCCCGGGGGAGCAGCTGGCAGCGAAGCAGCCCAGAGGAAACTCTTTCTTCATTGTTTTTTGTGTATTCAGTCAAAGTTACAAAGCACTTCACATTTTATTAATCGGCCTAATTTTACCTTACCAGTGCAGTAATAAAGTAATCTGTAGAAAAGCACCGTATTTCGGTCAGCCTTCATAGTAAGGCTACATTAAATGTTATAATATTCATCGTGTCCTTTCTACTGTATATGCATATATTCCTGTCTATTGCTTTCATTTGTATTTCATGTTATTATGTTTATACTTGTTTCCACACATTTCACAATTTGGGATGAATGAAGTATCTATCTATATATGATATCTATCTATCTGTCTGTCTGTCTGTTTATCTATCTATCTATCTGTCTATATCTATCTATCTATCTATCTATCTATCTATCTATCTATCTATCTGTCTGTCTGTGTGTGTGTGTGTGTGTGTGTGTGTGATGAGCTTTTCGGCAGAGGGTCGTGCTGCCGTCCAGTCGCTCTCTGTGTTCATCAGTGTGAGATCTATAGAAGGAGACAGACTCTCTCTGAGGACGTCTTGATTCTCTGTCACTGCCTTTGTTCAATCGCTCCATTAAAGGAAAGGCAAAGAACGTTTATTGATAAAGCATCTTTCAACACGAGGCCATTCAAAGTGCTTTAAGAGCATCAAGAAACACATATATTCAAATATAGATTCTTATCTTATAGTCTTTGTGCAAACGTTTAATATTACTCAGACCGATGTGGTTGCCTGGTGTTTCCAATTGTTGGAACTGTGTGGAGCTGCTGGTTTTTGGTCTGCGAGGGATAAAGATATTAAAGGAAATATATAATAATTCAAAGTAATGTTACCTCCACAAAGGAGGTGATGTTTACAGGTTGGTTTGTCTGAATGTTAGCTCCATTGAGGAAAAAAGTAAAATGTTCAAATTGTAAAAGGGCGTAGCACGGGAAGAAGCATTTACATTTGGTTTGAATATACAAATTATTTTCCATTTTTGTTTACATTGCAAGAAAGGGCATTCATTATTCTCTCTACTAAATCCATCACATCGATAGTTCAACCGACAAAAGGTCCACACATGGTTGTCTGGCTGATTTCTTTTTTAGTTTACTATGTGCTGCTTGGATTAGTTTTCAATAGTATTGTTTATTTCCAATAGCACACAAAAAGAACATTCAGAAACGACAATACAAATAATACCAGAATATGAACAGAGTAATGTCAGAAAGTGCAGACACACTGTAAAAGATGCAGCTCCAAAAACAAGTCAATATATAATAAAAACAAGGTGTTTTCTCTTTTAATAAGTGAACAAACCTGCCAATAGAACAAGTACAAAATGGCTTGGTGAGATTTCTCGAAGTAAAGATGGGATAATTAGATAAATGACATCTTGTGTTTAGCTGGGGAAACTTATTTTGAACTATATTTGACCAGAATCAGGGAATTTGTAACAAAGAAAGCCAGAAATGCTCAGACGCTTTCTGTTTCCTGATGTTAGCTGGAGATGTTCCTCTAAAATAAGATGTTTTTAAGAGACTTTGACTTAAAAAGATGCTTAAGATGCCTTGTCTAAAAACAAGACTTCAGTTATTAAGTCTTATATCAAGTGTAACGACATATTCTGACTAGAAATTAGACAAATATACTTGGCAAGATTGTACATGTTAGCAGTGCACACTTTAACTCAGGCGTTCAGAGAGAGACGTGATAACATGTACGATGAGATGCATCTTGATCTGATTCTGAATTACTTGTTTTGATGCAGATGGTCCCCCGGTCCTGTCTCTGACCCGGCACCATGAGTCCTGAGCTGCTGCTCCTCCTGCTGGTGGCTGCAGGGAGCGCAGGTAAACACAGGGACTCAGTGCATTCACTCAATGCTACACTTCACTGCTAAACTACTCAAAAGTAGAACAAATAACCTGCAGACATCAACTAGTTGTTAATTAACATGCTTATTAGCAGTATATTGGCTCTTTATTAGTCATTATAAAACACTTATTAATGCCTTATTCTACATGACCATATTCTACAAGTAATAAGCCATTAGTTGAGAGTTTTTCCTCAATAACCCTCTAATTAGTGCTTATTGATTGTAAGTAAGGAAGTTGTTGTACATGAGTCTTAATCTGCTCAATATGGGCCTAATAAGGCAGCAGTACCACACGAATAGTAATTCTCCCATAATAACACTTAACAGATATGATCTATTCTTATGTAACAAGACATGAAACTATAAGTGTTAATTAAGTCTAAATAACTCAAAATGAGGTATTTCTATCTAAGAATATGTTTTGGGGTGTTGACAGTTCAGCTACCAATAGCAAGGTGATATTGACCTGTATGTTTCATATTTATTACATTGTTACTTATTAAAGTTAATATACCAGAAGTCATGTTCAGGTTGGGAGTCACACTTTAGTTTCTGTTGATTTATTTATAATTGGATTTATTTATAATTTGTGTACGTGCTATGTTTGAATTCAAAGATGTTTTTTTCTGCACATTTTTTGCAATAAATTGTTAATAAATGAGTGTGTGAACGGTGTGTGTGTAGAAAGCTTCAGAATATAGAGAGGAAGGAATGTGGACGCTTTGGTTTCTGTAAGAGATTTCTGCTGAGAGAGGAGGAGAACAATATCATGGAGAAAAAGACATTTGAGACAATTCCAACATTTTAGGAAAACTGTCGGAATAATCAAATATAAAATACGACGAGTAAAGTTTAAATAATAACTAATCTGAGCAATACTCTATGTAATAATAACTTTATTTATTATTGTGATCAATCAGCTGTTATATAAGGAAGGGGTGGGACTGAGCCACAGGAAATGGTCTCCAGCACGGAACGGGGAATCGGTACAGTCTTCACGTTACACTGATCATTTGTTTGTTTGAATTTATGGAAGAAGTCAATAAATCCGCCAGAGGAAGGCAAAGAAATCAGCGCCTACAGAGTTTTATTTGGACTGTTTTTAACGTGTGAGTCAAGAAGCGGATAATGTGGCACAGTTTTAAATATCCTACAAGAATGGGCCACGACATAGCCAAAGACTCCGGACCGCTGGAATAACTGATGTGAAAGACGCATCGCTGACTGGAATCCCGGCTTGGATATTTGTGAATGGAAGAAGGAGACTCCGCGAACAGAGAGTATGGATTGCGCAACGATCAGCTGTTGAGCCATGCGGAGCAGTGGCGTTTTCTCCTGGAGGCCAAGGGAAGGGTTAAAATGTCTCTTTGGGTCAAAAAGGTTGCAGACCCCTGCCATAGTTTATGGGCGCTGTACGCTATGTATGCTTAGTTCTGTTAAGATAGGATAATAATATACTTTATTGATCCCAAATTGGAAAATTGTTTTGTTATCAAATATCGTTAATAGTAATCATATTTTTTTTCTTCCCCCCAATTTCCGGCGCCCCCCATGGATGGATGCGCCCTTAGCATTCGCGTATACTGCCTATGCCAAGGGCCGGCCCTGAGTACAAGGTCCGAGTTGTTATTCTTTTAATCAAGTACACGATCTGAGTACTTCTACTTTTAGGAAATCATGAATCCACCTTTTTAGAAAGTGTATATACTGCCCTCTTCTGGACAAAGGTGGCTCTACACTCATCAAAATGTAATCCATCAGGAAATGTTAGGGTTTTATACTTTTTCTGATATTGAAAGAGTTACAGAAAAAATACTTAAAATGTGTAAATGTCCAAAAATGAGCAGACAATGTGATTGGTTGATAATAACAAACGTTGTGTTACTTTGAATCCTATATTTCTTTCATAATTGAGCTAATTCTCACCACTTAAACTATCCCGAATTATCCATTACATCTCCTTGTTTACAATGAACCCATGCACGTGAAGAAAGAAATCGCAGAATTACTTTTATAGTAAATAAAACGTTAAAATGTGATAATTTTCAAGCAAGTTTTGAAGCCTCTTTTTTTCCTTATGACTTCTGGGCGGATTTACTATTGTTTAGTCTCAAATAAATATCAAAAATACGATATATTCAGGAAGTGTAAGTCAAAGTGAATCTAAAAATACATGTATCGTGTTTGTAAAGTGAATTATAAGGCTTAATTAATTGCCTCCAAGAGTTGTGAGAACATCCACTGTAGCTGCTGTCAATCAACGGGTTAACTCCAACACCTGACTTCCGGTTTGGTTGAAGAGCACCCTTTGAGTCATTTTTTGGCTTCTCTAAAAATGCGTATCGATTTGACTGCTTTTTAAATGGTTAAAAACACTTATTTGATGTTGAATCTTTCCTGTTTAATGTGCCATACTTCATGTTGTCATCTATTTATTTTAAAACATATATTAATGAGAATTTCTATAATTTTTTCCTGTTTTATTTTACAATAGTTATTTGTTATTATTTTAATCCATCTATTTATATATTATTTTATGTATCTTTAATATCAGATTTTTAACTTTAATTCCAATGTATTTTATATTGAATTTATTTATTAACTTTATTTTTATTTCACATTTTCCCTTTTTTTAAATGTCATTATTTTTATTGCAAATCTTATTATTATAGTTTATGCAAATTTATAATGTTCATATAATATTACATTTTGTATTTACTTTATTGTTATTGCAAATGTTTCCTTTTTTAATTTCATTTATTATTATTATATTTTATTTTATTGTAAATATTATTATTGTTTTTTGCACATTTTTATTATATTATTTTATTTTTATGTACTTTATTTCTATTACAACATTAAAACATATTTTTTAAATACTACCAAAAGCTGCAGCAAAATGTAAAGAAATGTATAAAAATTCCAGCAAAGGATATTTTGTTGTATTTCTTGAAAGACACCAAAACAATAAAGGAATAAAAGTAGATTTTCCATTTGTATAAACATCTTTTATTGGATATTCTGAACTTGGAGGGTCTGGATTTTCTCCCACGTCTCCCCTCCCTCAGAAGACTCATAGATTTGGGCTCCAGACCCCAAAGTAAAGACCTTTTTTCTAACACTTGGTCCAGTCCATCTAAAAACCATTCACTTCCTACAGCGAAGAATAAACAATGGGAGAGTCGACGTACAAACTGTTTTACAACGGGATAAACACATCAGTGCCAGTGGGTCGGGTAACTTTCAAAACCTCTCAAAAGTCATTCTGTGTGCCTTTTAAAGGTCCCCTATTATACTGTTCATCCATCAATATATCACAGCTCTCAGATATATCCAGAGCCTGTCTCTGATTGGCTGAAACACCAAACAGATCATTGCAGCATCCCATAATCCCCTCTGTTTCAGCCCTGTTTCCAAAGTGCTGATTCTCTGTCTGTTACTTTAGATGAAAATAAGGAGCCCCTCCCCACGCCCCTCTGAGAGAGATTTGGTTAAAAAGAACTCAATGGTGCTCTAGGAGGAGATTCAGGTGATAAGGGGGGGGGGGGGGGGGGGGGGGGGGTGGGGGGGGGGGGGGGGGGGGGGGGGTTACCTTGGTTGCTGATTGGCTAATGGTTACACAAGCCAACACATCGTTATGACATCATAAAGTGGCCAAAATCTGATCAGCTCATGTTGATGTAGAAGAGACATGAAGAAGAGGGGACACATGTTGATGTAGAAGAGACATGAAAAAGAGGGGACACATGTTGATGAAGAAGAGACATGAAGAAGAGGGGACACATGTTGATGTAGAAGAGACATGAAGAAGAGGGGACACATGTTGATGAAGAAGAGACATGAAGAAGAGGGGACACATGTTGATGTAGAAGAGACATGAAAAAGAGGGGACACATGTTGATGTAGTAGAGACATGAAGAAGAGGGGACACATGTTGATGTAGAAGAGACATGAAGAAGAGGGGACACGTGTTGATGTAGAAGAGACATGAAGAAGAGGGGACACATGTTGATGTAGAAGAGACATGAAGAAGAGGGGACACATGTTGATGTAGAAGAGACATGAAGAAGAGGGGACACATGTTGATGTAGAAGAGACATGAAGAAGAGGGGACACATGTTGATGTAGAAGAGACATGAAGAAGAGGGGACACGTGTTGATGTAGAAGAGACATGAAGAAGAGGGGACACATGTTGATGTAGAAGAGATATGAAGAAGAGGGGACACATGTTGATGTAGAAGAGATATGAAGAAGAGGGGACACATGTTGATGTAGAAGAGACATGAAGAAGAGGGGACACATGTTGATGTAGAAGAGACATGAAGAAGAGGGGACACATGTTGATGTAGAAGAGACATGAAGAAGTGGATTTTGCACAATAGGTGACCTTTCAAACACACAAATCCTCCAAATAGTGGACGCTTAACTCTTCGATCATCCAGTCGTCACACACGGACATTTTCCTGAACCCCTGTGACCCGAAAAACTCTAAATGAAACATCCAAATCACACTTAAAAATGTGTGGAGCACGGGAATATAGAAGTATCTTTCAATGGTTTTACGCTAAACTAATGTTCCACCATTCATGATTCATAATGCACTTTGTAAATGCCTATATTTCAAGTGGTTTTTATAATAAATCATATTTAAAGTTGAGAAATTATTCAGTAAAATCTCAACATTTCTCCCAAAAAAGGATGTTTTAATGTCACTTTCCAAAGTGACAAAATGGTCTGTATTGTCTAAGCTTTCTTATTGTTTCATGTCATTTAGGAGTGAGTAAACTGCTAATCGTTTGCATGACTTGACAAAGAAAGACAAACATGGACGTGACACTTATTTCTTTTGGCTTTTACTTCCAAATCTTCTTTCAGTTCTTCTCTTGAAGGCACTCGCTGGTGGAGGAGGAAGCTAGAGAGGTCTTTTT